CACAGCGGGTTGTGGTCGACATGATGACCGCTATTGATGCCAGATGATTTCTTATGAACAATGTTGTCCCTGCCTGCGTTCTTTGGGGGATCTCCTGCTATTATGGTTGGTTAGAGTGGTACGCGGGGCCATTGCAGATGGGTCGGGCTTAGCAACGACGGTGTGCGTGTCTTCGCCATTAGCTTTTGTGCCGAGAAAGTGGTACAGCCGCTACCGCTGCGGACCGTGCTCGCAGAGAAAGAACAACTACACATCTGATTGCGGAACGTGGACCTTGAGTCAGTTAGATCACGTTTGTACCTTTGCATTGTTTCTGAGAAAGTTGGCGCCGTACTAGGTTCCCCATTCATTGTTAGGGGAGAGCCTGACTCGTCCTGACCCCCGTCGCGACGGTGTTCCCTAATTCCTGCGCGTGTGGGGTAAATGTCGTGCAGCTGAACTTGAGCATCACTCCCGCTTCACCTATACCTTCAAACATGTCTGGAAGATTCACTTTTATACAGCTAGGTCCAGGATACTGCCGTGCTTGTGCTGGAATGCAATCAGAACAGTTGAGGGTAATCATCACTGTTTGAGAATACCCCCAAGTAAGTTAAAGTAGTAGAGGGGATGCCACAAACCTAGAGCTTCTTTGCTGCCTACTCCTTCCTCCTTACTTCCTTTTGCTAGCTTTCCTTCTTTACTCTTCTGTTCCGTACTTGTTCCTTTTCTAGCAGCTTTTTCCTTCTTCTGTTTTGTTTTACGCTCACCGCTCTTTGATTCCATACTTAACTCTTCTTTGCTTCTACTTTCGCTGGAAGTACGCCGCTTTCTTCTGGGTAGTGAGTCGCCTTTAGGATGGGGCGCAGATGTAGAACAGATCCACTACCATTTGAAGAAGATTACGTTGGCGCAGTTCGGCCACGGGGTTGGGGGGGGGGGCATTTTGCACTTTTGCACTTCCCATCGACGTGTCTATCCATCGAGAGAGTCTTACGTGAGTTGACAGGTTTTCATGGTGGCTCGACAAGCTTGCTCAAGCTACATAAGAGTTCACAGGTTCCACAAGAGTAGGATTTGCAAACTGGAAGTAGTGAAGCGGCGAAAGTGCAGGATGCCCCCACCCCGTCGCCGAACTGCGCCAATTACGTGTCTCCTGACATGCTAAAGACGAGTAATGACAAGAAAACACGTCCTCAAAGTGCAGACGCCAGTGACACGTTATCCTCCTCTCACACTGTATGTCCGTACTACACCAGCACCAGATTGGGGATCTTATCGCTTCTGTCAAACTAACCTTGCCATCTCTTGGAGAACTTTTACAAGATCAACATTTGTTGCGACATTTTCATACTGACGGCTTTCTGCGTCGTCTTTCGGAGGTGGAGGTAGACGAGCTAATTTGTTGAGGGGTGTGAGATTCTCATAATGACCATCCTGGAGGAACATCGTTAACGGTTATGCTACCAATGGAGCTTCACACTGTGCGATCACCCGGAGGGGTGGATCCTTTCTGCAGGCGAGGTGGGCAAGTCCTCCGTTTCAAGACTGTAGCATCTTTGTCACCCCAAAAGGCGTAGCGGTGAAGCTGGAAGACTCTGGCTTGTTTTTTCTAGCTGGGAGAGGGGGAGTATGTGCTCGTTCTCAACAGCTCAACTTCAGCATCGCACCCACGCGGGACCTGCTGGCTGCGAGACCTTGTCGCGCAGGTTGAACTGGAAGAGTGGCGTCGGCATAGGTAGTGTGCATGTCGCGTGCAGAGCACAAGGGGAATGTCTAAGATTCACCAAATTCCAAATTCAAATTAAGATTCACCAAATTCCAGCCCACCCCGCAAGTTCCAGCCCTTTCGCCTGACGAAAAAGGTAGGCAGCTGCACAGGACCTGATCACATGGGACCCACCTCGAAGAAAATCGCACAGCGTGCCCTGTAACCTGCATTGACGATGTACACTTACCTCCGTCATTCGTGGTTGGGTTGACTAAAAAATGAAACTTACAGGACAGTGCACTTATCAGATGTGGCCATATAACGGTCTTATCACGATGTTTTTCATGCCAGTCACACTCTTCGCAGAGTTCTTGAGGCAATCGGTCGGTAAGGCTGCTGTTGTTTGAAGAGTCCATCGCAAGTGATGCGGCGCAAATTTCCGATACACGTCAGATAGTCGATTGGACTCATGCTAGATCAGAGGAAGTGGGCACGATGGCTGGGGACGGCCTGGCTGCCATCGCCATTGGTGGAAGGACAGAGGGGGGATAATGGTGTAAGCGAAAACCCTCCCGCAGCCCTTCCACCCATGACACTGTTAGCAATCATACGAATCGTGCCTCCCTTAGGCAACCTTCAGCGTTCAAATTCACGACCGGTGAAGAAAACTCGTCTCTGGGCGTCGTGGCCGTCGCGTTCAGTGGGCGTCGCGTGCGACGTCGCGCCCGTCGATGACGACGATTTTGGGACGTATTGGTCAAGAGATAGACAATGGATGA